GATTTCATTAGAACTCATAATGAGCCTGGGAATGTATAGTCATTTTTGATTATTCAATTTCTATTTGGATAATCTCATAATTACAAGGTTGTTTTCTATATGCAATAATGTTCTTATAACATACCGGTTTTACTCGAGCAAGACGCTCGCCCCATTTTTAATTCCTCTAGAAGTGAAATATTTTCAAAATTAAAACCACTCTTAATCGAATTTACAGGCATAAATTGATCCTGTATTCAACAAATTCTCAAATATTTCCATTGGAAAATTTTCTTTTATTTCTTTCAAAGTGTTTCTCCGTTTAAATTGATTTGTCCAAAAATTCCCCAATAAAATATAATATATTGATCATCTAAAAAAACTTGTATTCCTTTTTTCGAAATATGTATACCCATATATGACGCGACCTACAGTTTTGCATCACAATTTTAGGGAAAAAAGGTTCACATGGTTCTTGAGAAAATACGGTACTTCATTTGGTATCCCTATATAAGAGGGTTCTAACAAAAGTTCTCAGAATAGAAATGAAAATTGCGTCTAATTGAGCTGAATAAAAATTATTCTTTAGGGAAAACATATTCTTTGGTCCAAAAAAATCAGCACTGTTTGGACAATTATTTTAATGTTTTGCAAAATGCACCCTGGCTGAGTTTTGCTATCCACGCGATAGATGAGGCGCCACATTGGCATAGCCACGTTGGCACATCCGCCCCATTGGTGGCTGTGAAGGCGGCTGTTGATGAAAATGGCGGAATTACCTTGGAAGACTTGGAGGCAACCCTTGGAGTCAATGCCACTTTGATTTCAAGAATTTTCAGGGAAAAGCTGGGCTACAAAAAAAAATTGCAGAAAGGGCACCTCATCTATTGAGTGGATAGCAAAACTCTGCCAGGGTGAATTTTGCAAAATATTAAAAAAAATGGTTAAACAGGGCTTATTTTTTGTGCCAAAGAATCTGTTTTCCCAAAAGAATAATTTTTCTTCAGCTCGATTAGACGCCATTTTAATTTCCATTCCAAGAACTTTTGTTAGAACCCTTGTATAGCTTAAACAAGCCTTCTATTCAACAACAGCAAATACGAATCAAATAATTAAAATTTCACAACTGGACTGACTTCTTCGCATTTTTTTTTTAATTTTTATTTTTCCAGGAGGTCTGCAGTGTCCTTCCGGTTTGCGGCCAAAAAGCAGCGGAAGCGCGTCATTCTCAAAAATGGCGACTGCAACGTGCAGCTCGACAAAATCAGCAACCAACGGTCTCGGTACCTCGCGGACATTTTCACCACCCTAGTGGACGCCCAATGGCGCTACACCCTGGGTGTCTTTGCGTGTTCTTTCATGCTCAGCTGGCTCGTGTTCGCCGTCGTGTGGTACCTCATCGCCTACCGACACGGCGACCTCGATGGCGCCGCCGAGGACCAGGTGCCATGCGTCAAGGAAGTGACCAGCTTTGCGGCTTGCTTCCTGTTCAGCGTGGAAACCCAGCACACGATCGGCTACGGGTTCCGCCACACGACGGAACAGTGCCCCGAGGCCATGTTTGTCATGTGTCTCCAGAGTATTGTTGGTGTCATGATTCAAGTGAGTATATGCAACACCAACAAAATGTGGGCCACTATTTGGGCTTCATCCACTCCTATTGCAGACTGCTTGTGACAGTGACGGGACGAATAATTCGTGCAAAATACTATACTGTACTAGCAAGAAGGAAATAGAAATGATAACTCAAACGTCTCTAGGCCAAAAAATTTCCTTCTCGGCAATGGGAATTATATCTTTATAACTCAAACGGGTTCCCTCTCAGTAAAAGTACAGTACAGTAGCTATAACGCAAATATTTGCTATTACTTCGGGCTAGTATTTTAAGAACCCAGGAAGTAGAAGAGCAATAAAAGTGTAACTTGCTGCTTTTTTAAAGAAAGAAAGGAAGAGATTCATAGGGTAATTTTCCCTTGCTTCCAAGTTAAAAATCTGGTCAACTCATTTCTATCCAGCAGTTCAAGGCTTAGAATATAAATTTCATGCAATTCTCAATTCTCGCCCATCAAAATTCCTCAATTCCCTGTATCGAATTTTTTCTGAACCCTTGGAGTGAAATTTGAAGATTTTAGATTGTACTTTGGCAAAAGCACCCATTACAAATATTATTTTTTTCGACAGTTGAACTTTGGTGTACTTGGAAATCATGCTAGTATTGATGCAGCATTATACCCAAATGAACCGAACTGCCAAAATTCAAAACAAATACTGTGGAACCAAAACTTTTATTTAGCGCAACCTTCAATCAATGGCCATTTATTGGCAAGGATGGTTTTGTTCAACATACCATTAGAGAAATATTCAAAAGACCAGCGCTTATTTAAAAAAATCAGAGGGTGGAACTACTTTTTAACCAGGATATGTTGCTCTTGAATCATTTCGTGAGTGTACCAATAAGCAGGAAAAAATATGGAAAAAATTCACAACTTAGTTAGAGAATTCACGGTCATTTCCAATAGTACACAAAGGAAACTTATATTGTAATAATATTTTAGGTGAAGATTTACCTACACCAAACCGCGGGGACCGTACACATGTGATGCATGTTTTATAGAATGCACCTGGATAAATTGGAATTTTTTCCCGCAAACACTTTTGCACAGGCTTTCATGGTCGGTATGGTTTTTGCAAAACTATCTCGGCCGAAGAAACGAGCGCAAACGTTGCTGTTCAGCAAGCGTGCCGTCGTTTGCCAACGTGACGGGCAGATGGCGCTCCTAATGCGTGTCGGTGACATGCGCAAGTCGCACATCATTGAGGCGCATGTCCGGGTCCAGGTAAATAGATTGAATCGCTTTTATACATTGTCTTTGCCTGAGACCATGGAAATTAATCATTCTCAATTTGAAAAACGAACGTGAAAATAACTGACTGATTAAGGAAACATTAGATTGAATGGAGTATTAGACCTCTGCAAGAGAAAATTCCTCGCATACACATGGACTCCGACTCGCAAAAGAATTTCGTTCGATAGAGAACCCATAAAACCTTGGGAAAGAATCCTATGGGACCAAAAAAAAATTCGTTATCCAGAGAAAATTGTTGCCCACTAGATTGTTGTGTTGAGAGTCCATCCTTTCCACGGCAGAGGCCGATACAGCGCAGTACAGTACTGTATTTGCAAAAATGACTGCAGATAACAGAAACTTCGCAAATAACGTAATGCATATCTCATCCTTCCAAAATACTGCCCAAAAATACAAGACGGACAAGAGAAACAATCCCTCATCTCTGCGGTCTGCACTGCCAAAACTTCTTCTAATTTTTTGGGGTGAACTCATTCTTTTTGCAACTTACACAATTTTCAGGCAGTTTTTTTCTTTCAAATTTAACCCTCAGGTGGCGAAGTCGGACTTTTTCCGAGAAATTTAGTTACTCTTGGCGGGGCTGATTATTTAAAAATGCAGTCCAGGGATTGGGCAGCAAAGTCGGGGAAAATGCCGACGATGTTTTAGCCATACACAGAAAAATACTGCTGAAAAATAAAATAAAAAAGTTTTCTCAGGACCGAGGCATTTTTTCCTAGCCTGAATTTGTCGACTGTACAGTACTGTATAAAAAAGTTTTTCCATGGTCTGTTGTAATGAGATTTCACTGTATGAATGTTATAATACGCATATATATTCAGATGATTCGTCGCCGAGTGACGGCGGAAGGCGAGGTGATCCCCTACGACCAGCGAGAACTGAACGTGGGCTACGACACCGGCGAGGACCGCCTCTTTTTCATTTGGCCCACGACCATAGTGCACATGATTGACGAGAACAGTCCGTTCTACTCCATGTCCGCCGCTGACCTGGTCCACTCCAGGTTCGAGGTCGTCGTCATCCTCGAGGGCATCATCGAGTCCACGGGCATGACGACCCAGGCCAGGACCTCGTACCTGCCCAACGAGATATTTTGGGGTCACCGGTGAGTGCTGCTAAATTTCTGCAGTTTTTGTATTTTTTCTCTCTCTCTCTGTGCATTATTTCCTCGCCGATGATGCGTGTGGAATTATTGTGCATGCTGGGCATCGAAAAGAGCAATTTTATTTCAAATTTCTGCAGTCGATTCAATTTTTTCTTGAGCGCATCGATCATGGGTAAAAATTTGCAAGTGGAAGAAGTTCTATAAATGCAATTTTCCCATGTGATACCGTATTACTCTTTTGAGGTCTTTATTTTGTGCTATAATTTGTATAGTTTGTAAATATGTAAATGGGTAAATAATGGGTAAATAATGGGTAAATGGGTAAATATGTAAATGGGTATGTAAATATGTAAATCTTGTCAGACCCGGAACATTTTCAAGTTACGAAAAATTACGAAATTTAAAAAGAAGTGGATTTTCTCATGGGCGCGGTTATTTTTAAATAGTCTATTTTTGGATAAATTGGTAACAATTGCTGGTCATTGCAATTGACTGTCAGTGTATTTATTTTGGAGAAAAAATCAGGTTCAGAAAAAAGGGTGAAATTAAAAACGTTTCATGTTGTTAAATTCCGAAATGCTGCATGAATTGTGCTTGTGTGCTTATATGCAGGTAGAATAATTTGCGCAAACATGTATATGCATCGTTCTTTGATTCTGAAGAGGCATTTCAGGGAAAAAATGTAAAATATTGGATGAATCGCTTATTTACATTAACTCAGAATATTGCAAACTTGGAATTTTTGAGGGACAAATGAGGTTTGAAAACGTACGAAAACGTTTTTTCTGTCTTCTTATTTTTTCAGCTCTTTATTCATCATCAGAATTCCACAATCAGACAGTTAATTTTTTTTAAAGATTTGAGTTACTCACGGAATCTTCCTGCGTTGTATTAGTGTATCAAAAGCATTAATTGTTCCTGTTATTCGTTTTTTTTCGTGTATGTTTTTAGCAGATGGAATAATTTTAAGTTCAGAGAACGAATGCAACTCAACCCTACCGCCTCGAAATTTTTTTTGTTATTCTTTGAAATCATTCATTCCTACCTCAAAAAATCACAAACCAAAGCAGCAGTTAAATATTCCATTCTCTTCCTGGAAAGTACTTCCAAATCAATATTTTCGAAATATCTGTTTGATTTACGGTATATATTTTCTTTGAGCACGATACATCGAAAGTTTCTCTGAAAATCCGCAGTTTCTGGAAATAAATCCCTTTTTTTTTTAAATAAGTCTCTGCTGAATCGAAAATGCGCACTAAAACAAGTCAGCCAATGAATCATTCGAGCAATAATCCCTTCGTCTAAAAGTGCTATTAAAATTTAGAAAGCTGCGGAAGAACGCAGAAAAAACCGAAATTCAAACGAACTTTTACAAAATGAACGCAGCTGATCTTTCGGGACCTGCAGTTTGTGGGAATATTAAAAACTTGTCGTTGAAGAAAAATGGCAATCACGGTTGTGTAATCTGCAGACTCATTTCTGCATCTGACATTTACAAGTTTCCACTCATACTATCCCTTCGTGACAGGAGCAAAATGATTCCATCTCTCGCATGCTGTTTTACCCAGCATATATGGGATGAGAGAAACATTTTAAAAGAGCTTTCTGCACTTGCGAATCAGGATGGAAGCAAAATACGATGATGAAATCGAGGAAAAAATGGTTCGAAAAATGGCAGAGAATATGTCATAATACAAGCTCGAAGGAAAACCCATTTTTAATTTGCCAGAAAAATTTCATATTCTCTCGAATCACCTCCTTTTTCGTATTTCTCGAGATTTCTTCGATTATGTTACGCAATGAAAAATTTCACGACAAACATTTGTCTTTGCTGAACTATAGACAAAAATACTTTACTTTTAGGAAAAGGGGGAAATTAGCTCAACAAATAGCAGAGAATATTGCATAATTCAAGCCCAGGTGAAAAACCGTCTGAAAAATTCGAGAAAACCTTCTATTATTCTTGGAAAATCGCTGTTCAATTTTTCAATTATAAAAATCTACTCCGAATTTTTTGGTACTTCACTCATGTTACCCAATGAACAGTTTCACGGCAAAAATTTGTCTTTCCTGATGATGAAATGATCATTATCAAGAAAGACACTTTCAAGAGAAAAGCGCGGAAAATAGTTTGAAAAATTGTGTGGAATAGTTCACAATTCGATTTCGAAAAAAGGCTCTTTTCAAGAATGTATAAAAACCTTCCTATACTCTTTCAAATCGCCTTCTCGTTAAATTTCGAATTTTTTTTTTCATGTCAGATGAAAAACAGTTTCACGGCAAACAATTGTCTCTGCTGCTAAACTAAACACAAAAAAAATTAAACAGTAATATAAAGAATGGAAAATACTTCGAAAAATTGCAGAGTTTTTCATTATTCGAGTTCACGGGGATAAACGTTTGGAAAAATGCATGAAAGCCCTTCCCATTTTCTCAATCGCGTTTCGAACTTTTGATTCCTTTCAATCTCCTCCATATTTCTCGGAATCATATTCAAGATACAGTACTATAAAAGAACAGTTCATCTCGGTAAAACATTTGTCTTTGCCGAACCAGACTGTGAATTGACGATTCGACTTATTTTTATTTTTATTCATTCTTTGTTCATATACGCAGCACTTCTCAATTTTCTACGAGTACGAATCGCTATTTGATTAATGATCTTAGACGATGGAGGGTATATAGAGCCAGGACCCAGAGAAACTGAAAAGAACCCGTCGTTTCCCCTTATCGAGTTTCCGTTTCCGTACATTTTTCGACCCCCGTTTTCCTGGGCAGAACAAACATCGACCCCCTGCCGTTCTTGTACGCCTAATGCAATATAACCCGGCGGATTGACCGCCATCAAGGACGACCAGTGTCTTTGACGTCAGAGAGGCGTAATTCTGCGCAATTCTTGCGTATTACGCATAAAGCCCTTGAATAATACGCATATTTGGCACATATAGGCACGCGTTGTGATTTATTCAGCGGCTGCTGAATCATAGAAGGATTTCCTTATTAGAAATAAACGGAAGAGTGATCAGTTTTTTGGGCGGGGGGAAGCTTTTGATGGAGGGGATTGTATTGAGGACAAATGTCTCCAATATAATTCCATGTGGAGTGCTATAGAGATTAAAATGAAACAAGTTACTCAGTTCAGGACAGGACTGGGATTCCATTTAGGAATTCCTAGTTTAAAAAGGGGTAAAGTGTATTCCACACAGATATGAATGAATAAACAACTCTATGAGCTTGACTTGCAGGAATAACTTGAGGATAACTTGAATAAGACAGCTGAACTGAACTGATTCTGATTGATGATGAGGAAAGGAGCAGCTTATATACTACCAATAATAATTAACCTTCAATAGGTTTTACTGTTACAATCAAAGCAAGAAAGCCAAAGTTGAGTATGCTGCAGTGCCAGGATGTTCCTGGCACTGCAATTTTGAGGAGGGGGGAATACTTCATACTTCTAGGAATTTGTACGTTAAGTACATTACTGCTGTGCACAGCGTGCATGCCAAACAGATTGGAATTAACTAGAGAAATACATATTCAAGTCAACCTCAGTCTAACAGACTTACTCTGTGCAATGGACAAGTCTGTTCTGTTAGACAAAAAGTCCTTTAGACAAATTCAAGAGTAACAAAAAATTCAAAATTTTAATTTTCAACACAAATATTTTAAACCAAAATAAGTCTGTTTGGAGGACTTTTTCTGTTCGAAAAACTGCCTTCAGAGCTGGTCTGATAGGCGAAAATCCCTTGGGCGGGAGGTTTGTTAGGTAGTGTGCCTAACACACTGGAAGTTTGCCAGTTCACAGGCACAAAAAGGTTGCAAACACTGGTATTATAGGCAAATGCTCTTATAGTACATGCGGTTAAATGCAGCTGCCGGAATCGTTAAATCTGTTTTTTCCTCTAAACTTACTTATTTCTGGGATGCAATTCATTTTACGCTCGGATTCGATGAAAAATCGTGTCCATCTTTTGTGAGATCAATGGTGTGGTGATCTATAAAAAACATTCCATTCAGGTGGTCTGTAAGATTTATTGGTCGTGGGGGGTTTTTCTCGGTACAGTATTTGATAGAGAAGGAAATGATCCCATCACAAATAAGCTTACTCAACGACTTCGTAGATCTTTCGTTATTACAGTTTATTCTGCTGGTATCAAAGAGCACTTGTATCGAGGTTCTTTATATCCTTGATACGAAGATACATTATTTTCCAAGAAATTTTGGAACTACTGAAACAGGTACATGAGAGCCTACGCGCAAAGAGAGGTTTTTGCCGAGACGAAAAGGATTTGCGAGTGGGACTTGAGGATATGGAAAATATACAAGCTGAGAGATTCTTTAAATATTTTTTCAACATACTTGAATTTTTGAGAGACAGTGCAGGAATTTCCAGAATAAAACTAAAAATGTAATAGCTCAGAGGCTCTTCAAATATTTTTTAATAATTGAATTTTCAAAAGAGACAATGTTAAAATTTCCAGAATATACTTTGTTTGTGGAACTCCTAAACAGAAAGTTCCTTAATTTTCTCAAACCAAGAAGAATTTTCTTCCTGGTTTTGATTGAAAGGTTGGATACACTATAGATCAGTTTAGACAGTTGTCACTCGTATACACAGTAAGATATTTTTCATTATATATTTTTTACATAATTTTTTGTCAATACAGATCCCATTAATATTTTCTCCATACTCTCTAGATAATGCATGGTCAATTAAATGCTTATCTGAACTTATGATTTTTTTCCTGCGCTCCGCAATTTTTGTATCTGATTTTGTACGTGATTTCCTTTTTTTGCCTGGCGTTGAAATAAACAGAGAGGAAATAAGGCAAGAAATGTTGTTGTTTCTATAGCAGCTATACACAAGCTGAATTGCCGAGGGAATTTCGCGCAATCGTAAATAACCGGGCAATGCGAGCAAGGAGAGAATTGGGTTCCTTGTCTCATCGTCCCTGAGGCGGACCAGGATTCGCAATATCAGGCTGTTGACGCACT